TTTTGCCGCCAATTTTATGGCTAGCTTGACGTTGTGTTGGCCGTGAGGTGGCAATGCGGTCAACACGTTTCCAATGGCAGATACGTGCCTCGGATGAGCATTTCTTCTGTTGCAACTTGCTGCAGGTGAGAAAAAGCCACCGATGTCATTTGAGGAGAGCGGGCCAAGTTAGACGTGGACATCTGCGTTTATAACTTTGAGCTTGATCCTATCCCTTGAGGACTTCATATTCGGTAGAAAGACCAGAAACTATTCAATCGTCGTGACATTGACTATTGAATTGTCAGTTGGCAGAGAAATGACAATTTACAACTGACAAAGAATGTCCATGTTTTTACCTGTTTTAGTCTTAGCTTGGAATGTTTTGCTCGAAAATACCATGTTTCGCTTGAAAAAAAAAAGATTTTGGTTCGAGCTTCGGGCTCCCGCTTGCAATTTATTTCATTGTGTTTATTTCATGCAAAATGGCCTTATTCAAAGACATTATGAGGACAAATATTTGAAAGAGCGATCTAAGTCTTAATAAGAGTTGTTCAAAATTCACTAAATATAACTCAAGGTATTCAATCGACCAGCTCAAACTAAAGTCTGTCTTCAAAACCCGTAATTAATCCGCTAAGCAGGTATATGCCAGGGATTTGTGTTTCAGGAGACATGCCAATGCTAGTCCGACGAGGATGTTCAAAAGAGGAAAAATTAAAAGCAACGAATGCAGCCTTGGCAAAATCGAAGATGAATAGTCCGCAAAAGTGGATGATGGTCTCACCAGTGATCACCCAGTGTATCGCCCTATCAATTGTCATCCCTTCATTTGCAGTCAAATGGACAGTGCACCATTAACCGCCGCGTACAATATTGATGCGCGTATACCTCCTCCGCGCCAGAAACGACCGGGTCGTTATCATCAGCTGCCGTTAAGACACCTGCTCGTCTGGCAATTGCCTCCCCTACTGGTGTCTGTACCTCTTGCCTCTGCCTGAATTTTGCATGTTGAATACATGTCTTAGTCGCAGTCCAAAGTCTAAATTTTTGATGTAGTTCTTTGTGGGCGCTGGGGTTTTTGTGTTCTGTTAATGTGCTTTAAATGACGCGTTAGTACTCTGGAAAATGGTGCGTGGAGTATTTGCTCTTGGCAGCCATTTTTGCTAAGTGGTACTTTTAATTGTGAATGATTGCTTGATTGCTTTTTGCGCAAAGATCGCAGCTGCATTATCTATCCCCGTCCCTAATTTTAAAGGCTGTAATTCGCTGTTTTACCATGGAAGCATTTACATAGTGCATGCTCTGTAAGATCTACAGTACTGCTTTCCTTGTAACCTCGGCTTACTTTGCTGCCTTGTAGCTGAACAATAATATATGTGTTGTTGGTTGAAAAACATTGGTTGAGTCTTCTTATGTACTCCGAATGGCGTTCCGAGTTTTATTTATTTATTTCATTGTGTGCACGTATGGTGTAGATATAATTACATGTAGCACAACGAAAAGACTGTTTTGAAAGATCATTTCAGTAACCTTTTTTATGACAGATGACTCGTTTTTGTTTCTGTTAATTTTTCTCATTTCATATTGCGTGTGTATAGTTTATGTGAACTGACATTGTGGGTTTTCAAAATGTATGATTTCCTTCTGTTTGAGTTCGTTTGCTGGGAATTTGGACAAAGACAATACTGTATGCATTTTTATTCCTTATTCACGACATCCTTTGCTTCATTACTCACCAACATTAAGCATAAAATAACATCACAGTTGTAAATATTGGTATTAGTGAACTTACATTTTTCGTTTTATGTTTTGGAGATGACGTGTGCATGAAGAGTGACTTGTAGTAATAATTTGCTTTTTCAATTAATGGTACTCACTGGCCATTTTTGACCTGTGTGATATCCCATATGAAAATCAAAATGGAAAAAAAAAATAAACTTGTAAGCCGATCAAAATTGAAGTCGGAAAATAAAAACAACAGTTACATTTAATATGCACTCAATAATTCATTTCCTTTTTTCAGTGTGTTATAAATTTCTATTGAAATCCATGTAATATTCGGTTTTCTCTCACCCTTCAATATAGTCCTTTTTATACTTTAAAATTTCACAGCTTCTTCCTCGGAGACATTTATGTTCCTTTGTAATATTCCATAGATACCCATAGATACCTTGATCTTCAATAGTCAGGGAAATTTTCACTGATAAAAATCAGACGCTTTATATGCAAAGATGTTCAAGTTTCTTTGTTCAAATAACAAAGCTGTATAAGACTGTAATTGTGTACCTATGTTGCCAAAGAAATTCCTTTGTTGCAAGACAAGATTCCTCTCATCAATATTTCAGTGCAAAGCAATTAACGTGATTTTAGCACATTTATCGCGTAATGCTCGCTGTTCTGCCGTCTCCAATCACCAGCACGAGCCCAATCTCCAAAATTAATTCATTTCATGCTTAATACATTTGACGCAGGTCGGTTTACAATGCAACGATAGGTTATTGAAGTTCGATACACTTGAGTCGGCGTATGGAAGGAGTCGACCACGTCCGCTCAAACTGAGACGTCCCTTGGGGTGTCATAACCATCCAAGCAATCTCAGTATGGAACAATGCCAATCAAGTGACATGTTTGTTTCAAAAGGGTTGTTATGGAATATTTAGGAATTTATATCAAAGTTTCACTCGTCTAAAACTTCTCAGAAGGTGTCAAATGCTCCGGCGGGTAAAGCCTTGCTTCTTGTCACGATACGTAAAGGGGGCTTTTAATATTCAAAAACAGCTGAAATAGACATTCAATACTCCCTTGCTGAGCGAGCCCACGTGGAGGTAGAAAAAATATTGCGACATCTCAATTCCCTGAATATTTGATGAAGGCTCCCACTGGTATAGTACCCGGGGTCCTTGGGCCCGGCTGATATCACATTTAATGGCCGATTAGAGACTCCTCACAACACCGAACCCTCCCTGGCTTCATCGTTATTCATGAGCTGGCTGGCTCTCTGCAATCACACATTGGCACCGGTGTGGACAAGTCGGCGGCGCCTTGCCAAGAAAGCTTACCCCGGTGGGTTCCCGGTGGTAACGGGTGAGCGTTTGGTGTAGCCAACGCTTCGTTGACGTGGGTGTTTACTTCGGGGTACGTTATGGCCTGCCTCAACTTGTAAAGCTGAAACTGGGTATAACCCTACTGAAAAAACCTGAACCCACAAGTCAAATAAATAGAGGAAAAAAATGGACTCGGGAAAAATGTATACAAAAACACCAATTATATTTACCCAAAGAGCTCGTCAATAACTTTGAGATATAGCATGAAATACGTTCTAGCACTTTGCATAACCTTATTTTAATTTTGAAATTTCCCACTGCACACGCACAGAAACCGATAGAATGGAGAGGTGCGGTAGATTTTACTGGGAAATCTTCTTCGTATATTGTGGAAGAATCTGTAACTGCGAGAGGTAACTTTGGTGACACAAATCATCTGAGAATGAGGGAATACAAGCCAACACTACCAAATTGGTGTTAATTTATCAGAGGACTGTCATCAGATGACTCACATAAGAGGACTGATGTAAGCCTCTGATTACACCAAGGGTGTTAAATTAACACCATTGCTTCGAAGTTGCTGTGCGGGGCGGTGGGATACTAGTCTTTGGTGAGATTCTCCTCTCGTTAGAGACAGGAAAGTGACTCTTCTTGAGCATTGGTACCATCAATGTTGGGCCACGGCCTGTCGTTTCCTCATTGTTCCTGTAATAACCACGCCATTTCATCGGTAATATGCAGCCATGTCTCATGTTGTATAACCAAACTAACCACCATCAGTTTGTTCGATCAACGCCCCATGAAAATAAACTTTTTTCCCCTAGTGATTTTATTGGTACTAAGGGTGACACAATTTCCCCGACTGCTGGTCTGTACAATATATTTAACTAAACAGATTTAAATTTCCAAACTAAAAAAAAATAAATAAACGGTTGCAATAATTTATCTGGAAACGAAGCTTTGAAAGCATACGTTGCAAGACTTTTTTCCTGCATTTTTTTTTGTATTGAGGATTGTCAAAGTACACAGCAAAGCCCCTTATCAGTTTTTTGTTTATCCCTTTTTGGGGGGGGGTATTTGTTTCGTTTCAGCTAATTTCTTCAATCTGTCGCTAAAGCTTTATTTTATGTGCGTATCGGCGGTTTGTACATGTAGACGCATTGTGAGGCAGGTTGCTGGTAGTGCTTAGTTTTTTGCCTTAATAGCTAGCAGTATAGCTAAATACATCGTAGTGACATTTTTCCTGAGTCCTTCGTAAATCTTTAAATATCAGCACATTTCTCCTGTTTGATCGTTGGCGTACCTACATTGAATTTGCTCCTTTCGGTTCTACAGCTGCTATCCATCTGACTGATCCAAAAGCCGTGAAAAGCTGTGTTTTCTCTTTGGTTCGTTTCGTGCACGTTTTATTTTTGCACAGTTGCAAATGCACCTCTTGTTTTCTCAGTTATGACGTCATTTTATTTAGTAGTTGGTTTGTTGACCGCCAGTTCAGTCAACTTTTCTGACTCGCTTTTCACTAGTATTTGTATTCTATTCCTGTGACCGTTCCTTAAATAATTGGACTAACCTCGTTCCTTATTGTTTCCAACGGCGTTTTCATTGTTTGTTCTAATATCAAGGTTCAATTTCATTTTTAAATTAGATGAAAACGTTACTGAATATCTGCCAACTAACTACCTGTTCTTTTCATTTTTTGACAATCTGATTTCATTCATTATGTGAAAGATACAAACACCCAAATGAATCACATTGAATCTCTCATTTATCCTTTTTGATACTTATTGGTTCCATTGCCTAAGTCTGGAATACCTTAAAGGAAAAAGTGGGTGAAGACACATCTGAAGTTATGGAATCAAACGGCAGTTACAAACTGTCATTCGAATGTATACGTCTACGTAGAGTACACAGGATTAACCCCATCCCAGCCAGTCTGGCTGTTTCCTTTTCCCCTCTCTTTCTATCTCTCATCAGAGCCAGGGTCACCTGTCATCGCCTCATACAGCCCCAGTTTCATCTCCAGATACGAAGGAGACGATGTCCTCCTGTCCTGCACGGTCAAGGACAAGGACGACCACACCGTGTCCTGGACGTTCCTGGGCTCCACGCCAATATGTGAGCTGGACCTCCTTTGGTGTATAGGCTAATCTGAAGGGACGTAGATTACGACGGAGACTACTATCTCATTACTTGCACCAAGCGTAGCCAAACGCAACGCCATACGTGTTATGTTAATCCAGTCTTTCTTTTGTGTCCGTGAAAGTGAAACGCATGAACGCAGCGCGTACGCAACGCGGCCAAAACACGTACATATGGAAAGCCGCCTTAAATCTGAGTCAGGAGAACACCCTACTTGGTAAAAGTGATATTCAGCGCGGGGTCACTGTCTTCATGTAAGTGGGATGCTGCTGCAGTAATTTTTTTCTGCTTCGGGTTACCAGATAGCAGGGTCATTTTTGTATACGTCACAAACGTGGCTGCTACTTGATACTACGTGTAACTGAATGAAGAAAGCTGTTTAAAAATAACGGGCGAATGTACAGTTTGGGGCAGAATCTGACAACCATCAAGGGTATTTTAGATTCTTCGGTTGTCCATTGGAAAATGACGGTGCACAATACGAGACACACATGACAGCATTTACTGATGGTACATGTACCACATTTAGGCCGACGGATGGTAAGGCCTGGCAGGTCGCGGCTCACAGTCACACCTAAGCAAGCTAGGAGACACTCCCTTCCCCGCCCGAACTCACATGGACCAGTGAGTATGCAGGGATACCAAAACGAGGGACAACATACGAGGAGGCGTGACCTTTGTGTCGTCCGTTCGGTTTTAAGGCCAACAATAGACGGTTAAGGATAATTATATCGTGCGATTAAAAAAATGAAATTCAGAAGATTCCTGTGAGGATATATATTAAATGGACAATAACCAGGCTGAATTTTCAAAGATATCGCACCCAGATAGCGCTTTCTGACAAATAGTCCGTCTCTCTAGGTATGGCGTTACAGGCACTCTCAACGTTATGAAATGACACGAGGTTGTCATGCATAATGGCTGCAGTCACTTCCCATAAATCGTAATTTCAGGCCACACCTAATGTAGTAATTTGGCCATGCTTTCTGACTTGTTGCTGTTCGTATGGGTGTGCACATGGGTCCTTCAGGGCAAGAAATCACAACCAAAACGTGGCTTGGTTTGAATACCACAAGGGATACTAGCAGTTTCCTTCCTCCTTGATACTGGATACTTTGATGCAGATGTGCATACATTATGCGCAGGAGAGTCTATGCAGGTGATCTTGCATACTTACGTATTGTCCGGGCGTTTTTTCACATGGCACGTATTCTGCTGGGCAAAACCGTTGGCCTGATATTGTCGGTCCTACTGTGAACGTCTTGACAGACTAAGAAGTTAACTTTAGATTTACAGTACAGCACAAATTCATCCCGTCATGCGTTAACGCTTATTTTGGCACAGGGGAAGTTGGTACTGCAAGACCAAATTACACGATTTGTAAAAATACATTTAGATTATGAAATATTCACCTATTAAGCATCTCGCTTTATATTTCAAACTGAAGAATTGAAATTGTTGAAGTAATAAGCAAAATGCTTCCTTCTGTGTTCACTCTCCCACTTTTATTGTCCAGCCCTCTTCCACGAGACAAATCGAGTCCACCGCGACAGGAGATTTAAGATTGAGTCGGACGGCAACAGCACCTACAACCTCCGCATCACCGGCATAATGCGTGATGACCAAGGCAAGTACCTTTGCCAGGTAAACACCCTGCCGCGGCCAACGACCCTCAACATCACGCTGCAGGTTGTTGGTAAGTTTTTTCGCTATTACTACCAAGAATTATTGTTGTGCAAGTGGCTTATAATTTGGCTGGAACTGGGGGTTCGGGGAAGGAGAATGAGTTACTAGGCCTTGGAAATTTAAAAGGTGGAGTGGTGCTGAATCCACGTAACATTAAGGAAGATGCTCATCTTGCTTAATACATCTGAAACCGTACATCAGAGCCGTACATCAAAACAGCCTTTATTTGGACTTTTGTATAAACATGTTCTCCATTTGTGAGTGTTTTTTTAATACATTTGGGTTGCTAGGAAGTCCGAAATACTCCCCATCTGACTTTTTTCCTACCACAAATGTGGGGAAAAGGATGATTCATTAGCTAATCCTTAGGTTAAATCGTGTGGGGAGGAGATGTAGTTTCCTCCGGGGGATTAACACCCCTGTGTACACACCTTTCACATTTGCCATATATAAAAGTGTGTTCTGTCCCTCTACTCCCTCGTAACAAGTTCAATATTCAACATAGAACTTTTTTACTCGAAAAGAACTCACCTACAACGCTGCCAGGAACCTTTACCTGTCGTATACCTTCTGGTCTATCAGAAGTTGTTCGGAAAATACTCTAAGCGGAAAGCTTTGAGGTAGCATATCTTGGCTAGCATCAGCGTGCCAGCGTCGGTCGTGGGTTAAACGCAGCTTACTGATCAATGCAAATTATTAGGAACCTTATTTTCATTTCACGTTCGAAACCCCACTGGCTGCACTGAGTTGAGTCCACGTGCTCACTGACATTTTAATATGTAGCTTCTTGAAGTGGTCTGAATTTGAAGAAAAGCTTGCCGGTCTATGAACACAAGGACGACTGCTGTGCCTTGAAAAATGAAAGTGACTAATGAAAACTGTCGAACATTCTCCAGGGCGTCTTTTTATAGTAATCCCTTCACATGAACCAATTTCCTGTAGTTGTTGAATAAACTTGGCACTGGTCAAAGTCGGCGTTCGTTTGAGTGGTTGGAGTTTCAACTGGCCTGGAACCACTATGATAGATGACGCCGTGGCCACAAACGAGAACTCTGGGGGCGGGTATGCACTGGTTCTACTTCAAGTAGCAGTTGCAACTTGTTTTGTCTTAATGTGCGTAATAGCCGTACGAAGGGTGTGTCTTTAATACTCTTTTAAGCAACCCAGGGCTACACCTATCTACTATAGCCTCTTTAGGCACCACCAAATTTTCAATAGCAAACGTTAGGATTCCCCACAAAAAGGCAAAGAGGAATGACAGTCATTTGTAATATATGTGGGAGGTCGTCTATAATAAGAACAATGAGGAAACAGCTTGAAGACGTCTAAGTATACTTTCTTCATTTAATCGGTGGGGTGAAGACAAACGTAGATGTTGACAACCCTCGTGCAAGGGTAGTAATGACAAAGCCTGCGAAAGTAAGATCACTTGGCAAGACTGGGTGAGGGCGCTACACAAACGTCGCAATACTTCCAAAACAATTAATGAGGTCACTGAACTGCCTTCCGCACTTGCCACACGTAAATGCGGAAAGTATAGATTGGTTTGTCACTGACAGTTTTTCAGCAGCTGCAGCGCCCTTCCGTCTCAGCTGATGGTCATGATCCGACTCAGAGATCCTTCTGACGGATCTAATACTGTTCAGGACAATTTGATTTTGATATAGCGTCTTTATCATTTTGACGGCTAGATTACAAAACGCCAAGGCACCTGTCCAGTTGTGCCGTGTCTGCAGCGGCGCCGCGATGTCTTGAAAGTAGGGTTGAGGCGGAAGATGTGTCAGTACATTCAGGATGCTCTCACGGAGAGCATAGTTGGTATCCTTGATGTTTTTCAATGGGATGTTTTTCAGTTAAGCAATTAATTGGCTTTAATTTGTCAACCAGTACTCACTACATTAGATAGATAATGTAAAAAGAACGAAACATTTTTAAAGTAAACCATTTATGTTATTTTTTTATTATGCAACCTAGTTAAAAAAAAAGAAGCGCAGGAGAGCAAACTTTTATGAATATTTGGTATAACCATAGAAAAGGGACACGTTTCTCTACGGTATGGCAATACCTTGACACAACTACAAAATAGTGGGACGCTATTGAAAATCATAAAGAAATTACTCAACTGACCAGCACGGAATTAGTACACATCCATGCACCGTATCCTAATTGCCAGACGAAATAACACGCGGGATATCCAACTTTTACATGTCATGAAGACATTCAGAGTAAGAAACCATTGTCGTGTAAGCAGAAGTCGTGGTTTCAATAAGACGTGAACAAGGTCAGCGAGAAAGACATCAGGTTATTTAATCACAGTGGTGTAACTGCTGAGGGGGGGACGTGCCCCCTCCCTCGGCAGATACCCATGCCCATGGGTGCCCCCTCCCCATTTGATAGCCGTGTATAGTTTCCATTGAGTTAACACGGCCATGCAGTTACAGCTTGTTTTCTCCTGGTTCCCCCGTGAATGATGCGAGCACCCCCGGTGTCCCTCCGGGCATGTAGCCCTATACACCATTGCCACACCAGCATATACACTAGATGTAATTGTAACCATTCACAAGTATTTTATAGGGAATAGACTATGTGTGATGCCAGTAACAAAAACAAGACGAAAGAGAGGGACTTTTTCAGGATTTTGACGTGACAGGCTACACAATCTTGTTTGTAGAAATAGATATGCTTTATAGATCAGCCAAGAGGAGTGAGCAGGTGAGTTATTGTAAAGTGTAGCTATTTCATCTTGTTAAGACAATTGAACGAAAGACTTTAATTAAATAATGATAGTTGTTTACTCGTCGGACATTTTTGTTTCTCTTTTTACCTCTATGCACTGGACAGTCGCGCCAGAAATACTAGGTATCTTCCCTGTATCTGGGGCAACGCCCACCTTGGAGAAAAACAACAGCAACCGGTTTGCCTACAACGAGTCCGATGACGTCATGCTGACGTGCCAGGCTGTGGGGTCACCAGAACCACGGTAGGACCGAGCAGTTATCTGGTGCAATCACCCAAAGACCACCTGGTCACTGTCAAGAGAGTTGTTAAGGGAATGCGTGTAGGTGTGAGTGTACACTTACGTCAGTATTCGACTGACTGCAATGCGTTTCCAGCTATTTCTTCTGCATCGGGGCCTGCAAGTCTCTGGTACAACGTCTATTTCTGAAAGAGCGGCTGCAATCACCTTTTTTATGACAAACCAGAAATGTACCTTTGTGCCTCAATTGACCTGATTTTGATTTCACTATTTCAAAGGGTGTTTTAATGCCTTTTTGGTTTAATGCTAATGAGATTTGAATACTCATGAGCAAAACTGTGATGTGATCTCAGGAAGACGTCCAAATGCTACATTGGTTTGTACACAAAAATGTCCTGCGTTTTTGTAGATTTTCCTGGACTAAGCTTTCTCTTCTTTGCTGATTTATTGTTGTTTATGTGCATCGCAATAAGAATCCATCAGTCCCTCTCACAGAAATGTTTTCGGTTAGTAATTCTAGGTTCACAGTTTGAACAGAAATACCTATGCACTGAGCCATGTCTTACTTAGATGACCCCAACAGCGCCCTCAATTGTCCGGAATACATGCATACTATTGGTTGTATTAAAATGTGCACTTTTCAATGCATTTAACCAAACAGGAACGTGTAAGAGTTTTCATACACCGAAGAAAAGTTCAAAGGTGCAAAAAGATTGTGTCGCAGAAAAGTTCATTACAGCTAGACTTTGAAATGTTAGCATTGCCAATAGCTCACCGGCCCTTGTACACGTACAAATAGCATTGAGTGGAAAGGTCGAAAAGTAGATCAACGAAGATTTTTGTTTTCACGAAGAGCCACAAATCTTCGTTTCATTCACAATTGACGCTGACGTGCACATGTATGTCCTTTCCTTGTAGAAAAATACATTGAACAGAAGGGGCAAACAGTAGAAAAACCTAAATGGTCGATTTTATGAGCGAATACATGTCTTTAGTTGTCATATTTGGCCAAATAACCATTGTGTTCATTTTAATAATTTGGTACAGGCAAAAGTTTAACACTCAAAGCATCAGTGTCCTGTTAGTGCGAAAACAATTCATTCATTGCACTTCGACAAAAATCAGGTGTTGCATGTTGTCTCGTAACTTTTGCTGGGTGAAGAAGCTATGTTCCCCACCTTGCTTACCAGATCTATACGAATCCAGGCCCTCGGTTTTAGTCTCTGGATATTACTACCGTCACTGAAGCATTCTAATTTTGTTTCTTGTTTGTTTCTGTTATTATTTTGTGCTTTGATTTGTTAGCATTACGTGGCGATTCATGGTGAATACCAGCTTCAACATTGTGCTGTCCACAAGCGCCACCTTGAGCATACCGAATATAAAGCGGGAACAGGCTGGTGTCTATACGTGCACAGCGGAGAACGGTTACCGGGAGTTTCCCAAAGAGCGCTGGATAACCATTAACGTGCAGTGTGAGTTACCCTGTCCACATTTACCGTCAGTCGCTTACTTGTTATAGAAAATTGCAAAAGATACAAACATACAAAAAGGACAAAGGCAAAAGCCAAAAACAATTATCTACAGAGCATTTGAAGCACAGGCAATACGGTATAAATCCTGAAGAATGGGTACACCCCCCCCCGTTTATACATGTTCCAGGGAAATAGCTTAAGTTACTGTATGCAACGTTTCTTCTCTTTAAACAAAAGTCATGCATGTAACTTGAATGATTAATGAAGTCAATGTTCTCTTCTCTTTGACTGGTTCATTTCTTTAAGTACTGAATAGATTGGAGATATAAAGCAAATACACCGTAAACTTATAGAAATCGTTCCTTGCACCATGTAGGACTCAGAAGGACAGTCATTTAGGAGAACATATTAAGCTTTTGGACATTAGATATGTCTGTTGCAAGTCTGCGGTCGACATGCCAAGTCTCAAAGGCAGCGGTAAAAGTGCAGTGCACGGAATAATATATTAATTGAAACGATTATTGTTCTGGTCCCAAATTTGCCTGATCAAATTTTTTCGGTTTTAGCAGACGAACTGTGTCTTGACGATGGCCTCGACAAAGGTTTTCTTCTTGTTCCCCGAAATACGAGCAATGGCTGTCCAAGACTTTCCCTTGCGGGCTCACGCTGACAGCACATGCCATGCGGCTCACTGACATACATGCCTGTCCGTACGAACTTGCAAGCTCGCACGACGCAAATAGGGAACAAACGGTTCACGCATTTGTGTGCATTGTGTGGGTTATCCATAGGGTAGTCGGAAAGACAGCTCAAGCTGTACGTCTGATAGGGGGGCGTACGGCAGCTGCCGCCTGCCACTAACGTGCGAAACTAAACAGCTTTACTCAAGGCTGCACCTCGACAAACCTGCACTGTTCTAGAAGGCCAACCGTTCAGCGCTTTGCAATCCCTCAGTGTATAATTATCATGTCGGATGCCACGCTTTAAAGCCAACCTGTTCTAAAGTTGCAAGACAAACACCCAGAACAAGTGCTGGTTTATCGCAACGTCGACTCAGAGTAAATTTACATTGTACTTCAAGCTGTCCCAGATCTAGAACAAAGCTCCGCGAAGAGTCGGCATGTCTACTCTAAGTAATTCCTTTCCCTAACAACTGAATAACGGGTATGTTTCCTTCTCCAAGTCAAACCAGAAGTTGTTGCCGATGAGCAAGACATCAGGTGCGGCGAGGGGGACTACCGCCAGCTACGATGTCAGGTCAAGGCGATACCGCCGGCTACTTTCACGTGGATTAAGGATAATGAGTTACTAAGTGGGCGAGATGTCTCCCTAAAATCGAAGATGCTGTAAGTTGTCGATGTTTCTAGAAATGTAAAGGTCCCTTGTCTTCAGAACGTGAAATCCAATTACACAGAAACACAGAAACGTTGTTGGTACCTATATAACTAATAGAGTGATTATTATTTCAAATTTTGAGCGACGTCATAAACAGCAACACGCGATTTTTGACTTAAATACTCGTTGTCTGCATAGTTTTCAGAATCATGATTTAAAGTAAAATGTTCAAGGCTAAAGAGAATTATGTCTTATTTGTGTGGTTTTTTCCTCCAACAATATGAGTCAGGAGGCAATATTCGACTAGTTAACTCAAAAATCATAACTATTGAGGATTAAGGAGTGGCGCTCAGCAATCTGCAAGTACCTGGTAGACTCTTGCAGCTGGCTGATTTCCCGTCAATTCGTTAATGATTTTTAATGGAGAATAGTTGGACAGATGCATCAATTTAGTCGTATTTTAAAAAGGCACATGATGAATGATTTCAATACAAAGGTGCTGGAAGAAATGGCAAGACAAAAAAGAAAAATCACTGGGCTGTTTGTCGGTTTGTTTCTTGTTTAAATTGAATCAGACATAAATGAAGAGAAGCTTGCCGTGGGGTTTTGTGTGGTTTTGTCGTTTGTGTGTCTTTTAACACTTCTTGTATTTAGTTTTATGTCCAGCTTCGTTTTATTTCGTTAATCTTTTTTTTCTTTCTGTTTGGTAGATTTTGTTTTGTTTTTCTGTGTTTTTTTGTTCTGTTTTTGTTGACACTGTTAGATGTTATTCTGTTGCCAGCTAACGAGTGGTCTAGTCCCATATTGCGAACAGTTTCCGTTTTATGGCAACTTAACATTTTGTCAGGTCCACACCACGAAAGTAACAACCTCCAACAATAAAAACTAGAGCTCTGTGTTTTAGTCACAAGCGAATGATGGTCGGGCAAGCTTGCGAATTGAAGCAGGAACCTGTTTTTGTGCAATATTAAGAAACTGAACTAAACCGGATCTACCATGTAATTCAGGTATACTGGCCTGTGAAGAGTGAATCCCGTGATGTCACCATGACGTCATCCTTAAGGTCACCTCAGAATCAGGCCCGCTGCTCGTATCAATATGATTTCAAGTTGATATGTTGTACAGACTTGGAGAAAGCGAAAAGACTAACAGAGAAGAGAGTTCATGCACTCATACAACCAATCAATGATGTAAGCACAGGAAGGGGTCAAATTGTTAATGGGGCTGGGGATTGGGCCTGTGTACCTCTAGTCTCTACTCTAAGTGGCACATTTTGATGATCTGAAGTCCCTCTATCATGCAGCGCTGGTCAGTCTATCCAGTGTACTACTCACCGTAAATACCGCGCAACTGCTTGAATGATCGCACACTCAGTTTTCTTGCCACTTGTAAGCTGGCTTTTTTTCTTTTTATTTCCTTTTTCTTTTATTTCCGGCCACCTGTTCTCATTTCAGATACTTTGTCTTTGTCACGAAATAACACCAAGCCTTTCTTTTCTCATACTAACCCGCAGGCAGTCCGTAGATTGCGGGAACAGAACTAGGCAAGTCATTTTGTCTCAGAAACGTTTCCTTCCTCCCCGAGGGCAAGCCTATTCCCTCCGCACTCCCTCAGCACGCACTGCCTGCATGCACCATGCATTCAAATATCCCTCCTAATTGCCGCCATTTCAAAATTTTGACTGCGTGAGCGTGTTTCATAATTAAATAGCACATCAAGCAGAAGGTGGTTCAGAAAGACATGCACCCTGTGACTTTCAAGATTTAAGAAGACGTTTATTCCGAACTCTTAAAAAATTACATTGAAAATTAAGGGAACTTATAGAAATTGACAAAATGGGTAAGCTTAAGAAAATACATCAGAAATTAAAGAAATTTAGTACAATGAAATTAGCAATGTGGATGTAAATAACTTTGTACAGATACATGTTCTTAATGAAAATAGAACATAAGAGCTTATAATAAGATAAGGAAAAGCAGTCCATGTACAAATGAGAAAAGAAAAGAGCATGGGCTGTTAAATAGGCAGAGGCTTGTATAAACAGCCCTTATTAACAAGAACAACACGAGCAACTACGAGACTGCAAACAAGAACAAAACAAAAGCAACAAAAAAGAATTGAACGTTGAAAGTGTCAAAGGCTTTAGAAAGATCAATGAAAACACCAATGGCACATAGTTCATTGCTGAGGGCATTCGTAATCTTGTCGACAAACTCACTGAGGGCCATGTCGGTAGAGTGGTTAGATCTAAAGCCAGATTAGTGGTCAAAATGGATATTACGGTGAGAAATGAAAGGAGAGAGTTAGTTGCAGACAAGTCGTTCAAGGATTTCAGAAAAACAAGGGAGACTAAAAGTTGGTAGGTAGTTCAAAATGACGTGCTCATCGCCACTTTTGAAGATGAAGAGGAACAGAAGTAGTTACAAACGAAAGATTAAAGATATGACTTAGAGGGTCAGCAATACAGCCGTTCACACTGGTGCGCCACCAAGAGTTTGCAACGTGTTGGCCACTCACAGTGCGCGAGATTTGCTATTGTGCTATATTGTGCTATTGTGAATCGCCCGTATTAGAGGCAGAGCAGATTTCACCACACTGGAACAGACTCAATCAAAAAAAAAAGCTGCTGCTGCTCTTCAGCTCACGGCCAAAATTAATCATTTCCTGGCTAGTTGTAGGAGTAAGGAAAAACGAGAAAGGATTAGGATTGTGCAATGATTCTGTGAAGTGGGTATTACTAGGGGGAATTTTGCTGGCTATGGAGGAACCAATGTTGATGAAGTATTTGTTGAAAGTATCGGCTACAAGAGGCAGACTGGAAACGGGATTGTCACCATCCATGAATTCACTCCGAAGATTATTATTCTTCCGTTTTCCGATGAAGCCATTAATTTCTCGCCAGATACCCTTGAGATTATGTTTTGTTCGATCAAGCGTAGTATCTCTTTTTGGTAAGACGGATGGTGGTAGTGAGCATATTGCGATACGTTTTATATCGTTGTTCATTTACTGCCGTCGGGTTACGAAGAAAACGCCTATGCAGCCGATTTTTGAAGAGACAAAAATCCAGGGTTTAATATTACTGGGAGTCCGAACTGTTTTCGAGCTGAGATGAAAATGGTGATTACAGGTATATAAAAAAATGGAAAGAAAGGTGTCGTAAGCAGAATCTGCGTCCTCAGTCTGATATACGTTATTCCCATTAATACTAGCAACAACTTGCTTGAATGAACTGATAGTAACCAAGTTAATATTTCTAGAAAGAAATGCTTTCGGAGAGGACTTACAGCTCTGAAGGCAGGAAGTTGTGAATTGACAGAAGGAATTGTGATCGGAAATGTGGGAGCAAAGAATTACAGCTGTCGTGTTAAGATCAGGATTGGTTTATTAATGCAGCAATGTTGGGTTTGATACGAGTTGGTTTGGTGATTAAATGATAAAAAACCGCATGATAAAAAAAACCTTTCCATGAAGTCTTCCGCGAGCTGGTTATCTTCACTGAACTCTTACTTAACACATATTCCCTTCCTTTGTTTGACTGATCGAGTTATTTCACTCAAAAGCCCTAAGCAAAATTGAATTCACGCATGATACTGCACAGGGGATTAAGGCCTCTTCCCCGCAACTCTCTAAACAGAGCCCCTTTACCGATTACACCGAAAAGTCGCCTGTTTCATTCCTGGTTCTTGATTTACTGATTTCAATGTCATATTTGTGTTTTGGTTTGGTTCTTAATTTGCGTCGGAATTTCATGTCAGCCTTTGCTTCAGCTTCAAAATAAACTTCCAATTTCCCACTACCCCGATACTGGAAATTGGCACCTTCCCTGCTTTTCCACTCCAAACACTCACCTGGTGCTTCGAAAAATGAATTAATGATTAATCTGTCTTAATCTCCCACTTCGTTCCTGTGCATTGTCGCGAATTAATCAGGGCCGGGCATGATGGTCTTTTTTCTTCTTTTACCCCCTTTCTTTTAACGCTGCATAGTTTTGTCCTCGTGAGTGTGAATCCAGAGGCGGACTACGGTGTATACAGATGCCAGGCCACGAACATGCTGGGAACATCAGAAGATGTGATTGAAGTTAGCGGTAAGGAAGACATTGGGAATGACAGTTCTTTTGGTAAGAACGTGTGAAGATGATCCATTATCCATGTTTCATGATTTTTTAACAGTAATTACGCCGCTATATTGCACACAGATACGCCGAAGAAACGGTTATACCGAATGAATTTCTGCTGCACTTTTTCTAAGCAATGACAATTTACTTCAATGAAAGAAGCATATTTGGGATTGAGGGTAAAAAGTCGCAAGTTTAGGAAATTCCTATTCGCAGAGAAACGACGGTCAACGCGAGGCGTGGTCGATCACTACATAAATACTCAATACGTCCTTCGGCCGTTGAATGTAAAGACCTGTCGCGCTTAAAGATCCCTGACGAATTCCTCTGCGTTGAAGACATTATCATGGAGCTCTTCCCGCAATGCAATGAATGACCAGAAGCTATTGGGATATTTTGCTTTTCCTTCTTTATAACTGAACACAAGGTCTGTACACTGTACGCATTTATCGGTCATATAATAGGCGAATAATATAAATTGCCAAAGCTAAATGATCACAAACATGAAGCAAGAAAAACTGTAAAGCCATGATTAGTAGAAGAAGTGCCTATCTGTCACTCAGTGACGTCCTGCGCGTAATGAGCAAAGCTCAAACGAGAGAATCTGCGTATACGTGTCAATACAACGGCCAATCACACTCATTCAATACAAACTAACTCCTGGTCCCCACAATGTACTAATTATGGAAATCAGTCAAGTTATTTGACTCCAATTAAAACTGGATTTAAAGGCTTGTTATTAAGTACATGTAATTAATGGAGAAAGGTTTCAAAATAACGCAAAAACACAGGTGCGCCCTCTCTGGTGGTTGCTCAGGAGATATTTAACGGGTATCCGGCGTGCCGTGAAAAATCGATCTCCACGATGAAAAAAAAAGGGGGCCCGTATAAACCACCATCAAAATGCAAAGCGCTTTACTGACGTCACATTCAACCTTCCTTTCTTGGTTTCTAATTTAATTAAGGCCGTCTTCGCGAGCCGAAAATTGTCAGCGATCCAGTCGGCACCCGGCGCCATTCTTACAAGCTCGTCTGGGTCATGGGGAGTCGCACGCAGCAGTTGCAGGGAATGGCAGGGTACACGCCCATTGATGGCTACACGTTGTCATACTATGGCTGGTGGTTTCAGGTGAGACTAGACAAACAAGTAAAATTAGTGAAGAAATATAAATGAATAGATAGAGTGAACAAATTATGTTGCAGTATATGTACGGCTGTAGTCGAAAGATTAGGCCCCCTACATGCTCTGGGACTGTGTTTAATCAAACATTTTAGTACTTCATTTTCACGAGACAGTCATCTCTTTCCTATGATTGAAGATTATCCAAACAGCTAATCTTTTTCAGAGCTTTATTGTACAACTTAATTTGGAAACAAAGTTGACCTGTTTGCTGATCGGATATATACAGGGGAAATGGTGGAAAGGAATCGATGAGGTCTGAACGAGACAGTGTAGTACACCATTCTTCACCTTTCCGTGCCATTAACATTATTTTCTATGTTTGTTTTGCTCAGTTAATCTGTAGTTTGGACTTTTTGTTTTTATTGCTAATACAAAGTTGTATATTCATGAGCGGCATTGTGATGTCATCCACTGAACCTCAATGCTGTATTGTTTTGCTCAAAAAGTGTTTTATATTTTGCAACCGTGAATTTCCATTTCTTTGGCAATTTATTGCTGTGTTGAAGTATTTAGCATTTAAGTCAGTAAACATCTTTTTTTTCTCAGAAATGTTTTCAACGGGCAAAATTGAAGTTTAAAATATGAATATGAAAAGTAAACCAAGCAGTGTCTTCCTTGATTTATGTCTCAGCAACAACGCCCATAACTCTTCAGGAAATGCTTGGAAACTTGTCAATGTTTACTAATACCACTGGACTAAAAAACAGAATTTCAAACAATTTTCATACCGTGAGAAAGATTGTGAAGATGCATAAAAAGGTGAGACAAAAAAAAATGCATTTTTCATTTAATTTAATTGGATGCACACTATTGACCACAATTGTGGTTGACAGTCTTCTCAAAGGATTGCAATGTCATTTCAATCTGTTCGACAGCCCAGATGGGAATAAAATGTACCCGTGTAGTGCGTGCTTGAGTTTGACATCAAGCATCACGTACGCCGACTCATACGCGCCGAACTAGTTCACGCTCGCGTGCTTTGTTCGCGAATGACCATTACTTTTTTTTAAATACCCAACTTTGGTCGTTGTTAATCCTCCAGGAAAACGAGATGGGTGAGATAGAGAAGGTCTTCTCCCACAGCCCTGAGGCTCCCCTGGAGGTTGACATACCCCATGACCCGGAACTGGTTCGACAATCTTACGTCCTCCGTGACCTTAAGTCCAATGTCCCCTACGTGGCCATTCTCCGGGGATACAATCGATATGGCGACGGTGACAGCGTAACATTCACGTTTAACACATCACAGGGTGAGTGTGTTTGCTCCCATTTCTGGCCATTTCCCAATTTGTTTAATGTCTTTTTTAAACTTTTATTTACTGATAAAGACTAAATGCTCAAAGGAGACTACTTTTAATTTACATAAAATTCTGAAAGCATAGCAGAGCAAATTGTCTAATGTAAAAGTAAAACAAACGGTTTCCAGGCTATAAATTATCAATAAATAATTATCTGGATTGGTTGGTGCTTAAGAGCCCGCCCCCTCGACATTTCTTTTTTCTTCTGATATCCCCGCAGTGGATTTTTCGTTAGTTGGATAATTCGTATTTAGAAATGAATCTTTAAAGTCGTGTCGACACCATTTTTGCAAAAATCCAATATACTATTCTCACACAGCGCGCGTTTTCCCGATACGGGGCAGTAAAAAATGCCTATTATTTCCCACTGCGGTGCTCAGTGTACGCGTACTTGCGCGCATATAGCCATGGATTTCAAATGACCCAAACAACACTGTGGGTCCAATTGATTTGGAACTTCACCTTTTGTATTGATAAGGAGTGTACTTTGTATATGCTTGCTAAGTTTCCACAAAATTAGGCGTGCCAAGCCCAGTTCTGGGGGGGTGGGGGAATTTGCCCTCCCCTTCCCCAGCTTTGAGATGGGCCAAAATACCCCAGCTGTCTTAAGGTTAAACAGTATACGCCCAACCCATTCAAGATGTGAACTTAAGCGATGTAGTCAACACAGCCGTCACTATAACTGTATATGTCATGATCTTCCAGCGTATGTTTGTTTTCTCACGGTGTCTTTCCAGCTAATTACGTATGCACTCATCACGCCCCCATTCGGTGACCTTCATTCACTTGACCTTCTGCTTCATTTCAATCTTTTTTTCTTTTCTCTCTCTCCGTTTTGTTTTTCACACTTTATGTTTTCTGCACTCATTCATACCATGCACAGAGAAACCTTCCAGCACTGCACAAGGTAAACAGCGCGACTTACACTGACCAAAAAAAAAAAAAAATACCAAGCAAACATTGCATAAACCGACGATATATACTGTTGAGATATCATTTGCCTGTAGGCTTTTCTCCGTTGAAATCTGACACCGCAGGTAAACATCTACGGCGTTGGTTTTCTACGGTTTTCTTTGTGACCATTCTTTATGATCAATCAACTCAAATCACAAATTACGTGTATGATTATTTGAAAGACCGTTTGTCGAATGCAGTACCAAATACTCAAAGAAATCGTCAGTGCAAGTCGCAAGGTACGCTTTAATTTCTTGTACATGCCCTACTCAATCATTTTGCATCGTGTCGAGCTTGTTTCTCACTTCATAGCCATGTTTAGATGATTTGTCGATTCATGTCAAAGTGCTTTTAAGCAGTCGTCTATTTTATTAGGGCTTACCACGTATTCGATTGACATGCATGTGATCTGTAATGTATTTGGTTGATTTCAGGATGCCTGTTTTTGAATGAATTTATTTTGCTTTCCCTTTAGTGCCATTCTTCGAAATGGCTAAAGCACACCCATTGAGTTTCAACTACGCCCTCTGTTGAATAAATTCAAGTAGAACTGTAGCAAAGCAGGTATGGGCTGCTTGTGTTTTGTTCATGCGCAGTATGCACACATCCATTTTTTTTCGTTACTTGATCGTTATCAGTTTATCTCAGGACATTTCACAGAGCAGTAGGCCCATAATACAGCAATATTAAATCACTAGAGCGCTATTCCAGGGCGTGTGGGTGTTGAATTAGTTTCCTAAAGGCTGGCGCACAAACATGGATGCGCCCAGCAGGTTTTACTTTGCACGACGGTTTACCTCTGGTAATTTAAAATAGATCCGGATCTCACAACGATTAAACGCTAGTGCCTGATAAAACTGCTAAATTCTACAAGGATCCTTGGCAAATATAGACTGAGCCAAAGAGATCCTGCTACTGCAATGGCAGCACACCCATGCGAATACTCATTTTTAAAAAATGAGGCGCGCAGTCACACAAGTCACAACATCGTGTTTGTAGATACGGTATTCAACGCGCGCGTTTATTACCTACGAGCAGGATTGGTGCCACAGCAATAAGGGTAACTATTGCGAGACAAGCTCGATCAGTCCACCACAGGTCGACATGCCTAGCAATCGAGATAAGTTGTTGCCTGGCTTATGTTACCGAGGGAAGTCAGTCAGCGGTCGACGAAATTGTCGCTGATCGAACTTGACCCTGGCAGAGGTAGGCTTTTGATATGCCTTTTTTCGAATCCACCGATCGCGAACACAAATGACTTTGCTTGTATGCTCACTTCCTTTTCTCACATTTTCGCCGGTTGCAGTCAATACATGGTTGACAACGACAGCTGCCGCAAAGAAAACGATTGCTGTAAGAGGTATGGTGTTTGGTTTTTAATTTGTGGTTACTCAATAGTTTTTAAATTATCCGTCTCTTTGTTGTCTATTTATTTTGTTTGTTTTTTTTGTTTGTTTTGTTTGAGCTTTACGTATTGTTTAGTGTTTTTGGATTTTGTTTTGTTTTTCTTTGATTTGCTTTTGTTTTCTTTTTATCAAGTTTGTTGTTTTTGACACAAGACTGCTGTTAAGAAGAAATGTTTACAGTTTAACATAGTCAAAAATTAACTAGAAGCCAATATCATGTCTCTACTTAAGGAAGCCTTCTTAATGTTTGGGTTCTATAATTATCATCTCATTTACTGCAATGTTATTGGCATGGTGGAGTCAACAGACTAAATAGTTATCATTCAGTTTATTTATTCCCTTTCTTGCATTTCGGACAGAACTAACTACTGCTTCAGCAAACCGAGGTATAACACTATCCTCCATTTTATAGTGAGGGATTATAATCATAACTATGCATGTTTCCTTTTTTCTTCACAACGTGCCCCGTCAAAGTGTGACCCTCACCAAGATGTAACCACGGCAGGACTCACATTTTGTCCAAGCACTTTTTTTTTACAACTTTGTCATATTTAGTCGAAAGAAATATCACTGTGATGCATTGCACGTCAGCATTTCTGGTCTCCTTTTTCTTTCTTTCATTTTTTTGTTTTTAAATGCTCATCGTTTATTAATATTTACTTAGGACCTGTGGCGTAATAAAGAGGGCTTGTAGCTCCGATAGTGTCGTGGATCAAATACAAGCAGGTGTCGTAACCCGTTGAGAGTCCCTTTACCCCCACGTGCCTCTCACCAAACGGGAGTAAACGGGTAACTGTGGTGGCGGATACGGTAATTGCACGGTGCAGTTTGCGCCTGAAGCGGCAACATCGGGGTAGTACACTCCTTAATCAGTAAAGGCAATTGACTGTGTGAGCCAAATGAGCAGGGATGGTGATAACAATAAAAATGTGGCATGCAAAGTTCACGTTTAAACCCGGAATAGAGATATCTCTATTCCTAATAGAGATATCTCTGTTCCTAATAGGGATATCTCTGTTCCTAATAGAGATATCTCTATTCCTAATAGAGATATCTCTATTCCTGATAGAGATATCTCTAATAGCGAAGTTTCCGCTTCTGAGGTCAGCAGGTCGCCCTCGAAGTTTTGTGTGGAATTGAAAATCTATTATCTTGAGGGCCAGGGGCTTTTAGGAATAGAGGAATTTGTATTAGTAATAGAGATATCTCTATTGGGAAAAAGATATATGTTAACTTCGCACACCATAAAAATACTGACGCCATTGAATGACTTTCTTTCACTTCATGTTTTCCTTGTCCACAAACAGTTGTGTACATGTACACTCAGGGTAGTACAGTATGAAAAACAATTGTAACAAAACAGGACAAGTTCGTGAGAACTGGGAATCGGAGAGGACCGGAAGCAGACATTATTTTTGATTGCGGAACCAAAGAGAGAGATTTGTGAACACAAGGTCACTTTCACCGTATACTGTGCTCTATTTCAAATTACATAGGACTATGTGGGAAAGAGCAGAACAAGACTTCATTTTCTATCCATTACGACAGTGCATGGTTCCACGAAATATTTAGGTACCAAACGCAAGTCACATTACATATTGGTCCAAGAGGCAACGACTTGGGCATGTGTGCCACATAGCACCGCTTCTAAAGAATTCTACTTCTGGTAGTTTGTGCTGCACTACCTAGCTCAACTTTACTCAAATGATTCAAATTTATAAGTTTAAATGAAATTTCCTTTCAAGTAGTCCTTGGCATGCCTTCTAACACAAATACTTTCCTCGTGTCATTTTCTGTTACAGCCAGCTTCGAGCCGTGGAAGAGTGCTGGATCCTCACAACACTGCGCATGCACAGAGACTGTCATCTTCATCGCAGCCCTGTGGATACTACTCAGATCTTCGTAGTTAGTTGTATCGTACAAACAAGTTCCCCTAAGAGTTTAATTTAAAAACACTATAGTCGAAATCGACATGTAACTTCGAGGTCTAGAATCACGTTTCATACTTGACTTATTTCCCCTCAACGCGAAGGTTACGGCCTACAGGCATTGACTTTTGACACTCAACATATTTTCGTTCGATACATGCTCAAAAAATTGGATGAAAAGGATGCAGGAAGTTAGTACGTCTTACTTTTCCACTAGTAGCTGATTTGCTAAAGAAGTGCATAAGAAATGATAGCATATCAACATAGGTGAAATCAGCACTATCTTTATAATCCAAGGAGACCCTTTAACAATATGCCTATTGCACTCACACGTCCGTGATCTTGACACTTGCGTGCATTTGGCGTATCGTATTTGTTTTTGTTTTTGGTACTCACCGAATAGGTGCGCCATAAGCGCACGAGTATGTGCGCGTTTGACGCAGGACGCGCGTTTATACCAGCTTGTATGGTCTTTGCGTACACGCAGAACGCATGCATGCAAGAACCCACTTGTAACCACCCGTCTTTCTTTCGCCGATTGGGGGTGCACTTGAGCTCAGGGCGGATTAGTTAAAGGGGCATGTAATGTGCACGTGTCACTGGTCCTTCAACGGTGAGCCACCACAGTAAAGAGGCTGCTAATTCCTGTTGTCGAATTAAACTGTAGGTTTATGTTTGATGTACTTCACATCTCTGCACATTGCCTTTTGAGGTACGGTGTCCTAGTGGTGTTGGATAAACAGTTTGACAGCAGCAGGAGGTCCTTCAATTAATCCAAGCCAGTTTTGGAATACCGTTTATTTTCTAAAAATTGTCTGAATATGGTGTTAAGGTTAATGGAAAAAATACGGCACATGAAGAAAATACGAATTTTTGAAGTATCAAAAACGCTATCACATATCCTTAAAACTGCTAGAGGGAAAATCAAAGCATTCTGAAATTCTGCTTCTTTGTACATTTTGACCTTTGCTCTAAAACTACTCTAAAATGCATTAGACTTATAAACTAACCCTTTGACACCTGAGCTAAAACAGGTTGATAAATAATAATAATAATAATTGATATTAATTTATTCATTCATAAAGCGCAAATTGTATATAGATAGTTCAAATGCGCTGTACAATGAAGACATTAAGCGTCACTGAATCAGCTCCAGATCATAACCTTCACTCTGTGTTGGAAACATGGAGTTGTTTTCCGTTACATGAGAAATTACAAGCTGCCATGGGCCATCTAACACTATATGTACATGTATATAATGTGGAAATGTAAATGGTTGACTTCCCAGCTGCAAGTCGCTACCGTGCTCATGCAATAGCGCCACCACTGCTGGAACCAGGCGCTGCATTAGCCATTGCCAGAGGATATCAAGAGTTACCAATTGGAAGGGGCTGGAGATTCTGAAAACACAATGTGGGCCCCGAGAAATTGAAATCGGGATAATGGAAATAGAACTAAAAAACAAGGGAAAAAAAACCCCAAAAAAAAGGCATCGGTATGAATCGGCGATAAAAGCTCTTAGTCCTTTTGAATAATATGTTGCACACTGCATGGTATTTCTAAGTCAAATGTTAATTGGGTAAATTTAATATAAATAGGGACTTATACATTCTGTGAAACAAAATATATTCTGGCCAAGAACAGGAAAAGTGGCATAAGGAAAAGTAAGTGTGGGGTAAATTCAAATTGAGCAAGAAATAGGCCTTGTTCAGATTTAAATAACATCAAGAGATATGATTGGTTGCAGCAATCTCCTGCGTGATGCAGAGAATTTAAAAGGCTCATTTTTACATGTGTGTAAAAAATTGTATGGTGAATTAAAAATGGGCTATTCTGTTCTACCTGCTTTTGTTTTGTGAGTGATATTGTGACCATTTCTTTTAATTAAAACTGTCCGGACAGTAATCTCTGGATGTAATGGCTGATAAACACGTATTTCTACTCGGAAAAGTTCAATCTAATTTGAAATCTGAGTGATCCTATCTGGCTTACTTCCATCTATACATTGTCAGTATTATTCAATTTTTAATCACGATGGTAATGCTCTTTGAATAGAATACAAACTGCGAAAATATTTAAATGATTGTTACTGTAATGACCTCAAAGCTCCTTACGTCGTTCGTGCAACATCTCAAGAGGTGTTACAAATGGTGTAGTGTTCATTGTGCAAATGAGCGAAATTTATTTAGTGATGAAGGAGATGCAGCACTATAACATGCTTGGTTGATGCTTCAATAACAGTGAATCCTATACTTGTGGCACAAAATTGATAGTTTTAAGACATAAACCAACAACTTTTTTTCTTTTTTTTTTTGCGTGTAAAATGCATCTGGTGCACAAAATAAAGAACTGAATATCTAAGTATCTTTCTTAAGTACAGTTAAACGGGAAACCTCCGTTGGTGTAATAAACTAATTTTCACAACTACTACAAACTGACTTTCGTGCTGCGTTTATTGGTTTCCTTCAAACAGGCTTGTTGTTTATGTCAATGTTGCTTTCTTCGTTTTTATTTTTTTTATCTTTGAGGATGATGTTTGTTTATACAGAAGGGGGAGAATTGTTTATACAGAAGGGGGAGAAAATTCCACGCTATCGATTTCTAATTCCTAAGTCTAAGTAAATGCTTGTGGTTGAAAGTGACGTTGGCAAACCTATGGATATGCCGTTTGTGTTTATTTTCACTTGGTTCTCTTTTTTGTCAGGGGGGGGGTTAATTGTGCTCATTCGTGTGATTGCTTTTCCGTGTTAATGTCCTTTCCCATCCCCCATAGATACGGTTTCTCTCTTTGAGAGGACGTTTCTTTCGCGTTTTAGTGAAGCTGCCGCGCTGAACACTCAACCTGAAATTCATTTCATTATATGCATAGAATTATTTCTTAAAATCAATTGCTATTTTAGTCTAAAAAGCTGTGTTTCTAGAAAAAAAACAACTGGTAGGCCTACAAGTGCAGGCCATTGCAACTTCCGCAAACGTTTTCTCCACCCTGACACGGGGGTATCATGGGCCCAGGTCTAAGGATGTGCGGTCCAACGCGCAAGTTATTGAAGCTATCCAACGACTGAAATCATGCTACGATTTTCAAAATGGCACTATTCTTTCTTGTTACATCACAAAATGATGATTACACAACACAAAAAACTACGTACAACAACAGAAATGTCACCCGCATATAGGACAGATATTAGAATTACTCTCCGAATAGTTTATTTAAACTTGTCCAGAGTCAAAACTGTATCGAAATCACTCAAATGGCCTTCAACAGTTGATAATAAACGATAACTATCACTGACAGAACCAACTCGTGGTCTGGCAACCTCCAGGAAGTGTTTGTTCCTAGCACCCGTTTAAATTTGCATTCGGGTTCACTTCACAATTACCACGGCCGACATGTTTCGGGGGTAATTGACACGATATTTGTTTTTTTCCCTTAAACTGTTTCCCGTCACATGTTATTGCCTTGTTGTATGTTAAATGTCATAAATGAAATACACAGTATCTAACGACTACAGAATGGGTACAGCAAAAGGTAAAAGCTAATTTAATTGCAAAACATTCTTCAACTTATTACAAATGAGTGTGAAAAGCTATGCTCCTACTAAAGGAACATTAAATTCTAAGTAAATTCTGAAACAAATGCGTCGATTAACATTTTTTAAACGTATGCATACATCGACACAAATGTCATCAAGCTCAAAACTGAAATCGTAATACTCAGAGTGTGCCATTTAAAAAAAAAAATTGAAAGCATTAACGCTTTTTCATGTTTGGCGAGAAAGTAACAACTCTTACACGTTGTGAGCACTGCCAAGAACCATACAGTTCGTAAGTATCATATTTCCAAATTTTACACAAGCTTTTGAAGCTATATTAAAAAGTAACTGTTGGAAAGCATGCTCTGTTTAAGGATACTTAACTCCCTGTGAAATCATTTTAGAAGTTCATGTCCCACGCTGTGTCTGAAGACGCATTTTTGGGAAACTGATTTTCAGTTCGTTGCTAATGAGAAAGCTCGACACTTAAAACAAAACAGAAAAATAAAACAATAAAATCAAACAAAAGCGAGTCTGATGGGGAACCAAGCACGCGCACGAGTCCAAGTATGAACGCAACTGAACAACTCTATGGTCAGGTCTGGGTGATCTCGGCCGTGCTTTGTTCAAAGCAGGCACTAGTGGAATACCGAATTGGCTCATTCGGCCAGGCACGCGTAAGCGTTGTCACAGCGCATGCGTGCGCGCGGTTATTATAATTTGGTGTTTCAATGCACGACATAGTGTAGCTGAAATGGGCTGAAGGAGAATGCGTTTGGGACACTTCATTCGGGCGCATTTCACAAGACTTTTAAGCAACTTTTAGTATCATGCGAAAAAGACAAATAATGGCCTGCCCCTCAAAAAGTCATACGGCCATTATTCTTGCGGTGGGTGCCCAAGCGAGGGAGCTGCATTACATTATGTGAGCGTTGAATATAAAGTGACCGATGTATTCGTCCTTGGGGGGATTCCAGACACCTCCCCAACACACGATGAGGGCGTACAGCGTTTTCCAGGTGCCTGATCCCGTTCGGACGATGTTGCTAGGCAACTGCCGTCCGTTGTGCGCGATGACATTTTCACCGTCAACCTGTTTATCCGAGGAAGAAAAAAAAAACCAAGAAACAGATGTTTATAATAAATACCAGGAAATTATTTCACGAATTCTTTCACGAATTCTAGGGTCGAAGCATTTTGTACTCTTCCCTGTTGTCCTAACAAGGGTTGGATAAGCTTACTGGATGTCAACGTTGCGCATTCTCAGTGATACTGAACATTATATGAAGAAAGGGCTTGGAAAGCACAATCATCCCGAGTCTCATTGAAGACAACAAACCCCGGCGAAAACAAAACTAAAGGAAACCGAAAATCCGCTGTCCTTTCAAAAAGTACGCCCCCTCTTTCCAGTTGCCGTGACTATAGCAGATGGACCACAAGCGACATCTCTTTATTGGACCGGTACTGCGCAATACTGCGCAGCCTCAACAATCCCAAACCCCTAAGTGATATATGAGCCGAATACACAAGAAGTTTTTCTGGAACTCACCACACAGGGAAGCTTGTCGCATATGTAGGACGCGTAGGAGCTCCGCCCGTCAGTGGCTGAAGTCGTGCTCTGTACCTCGTAGCGCGTGCCCGTCTGAGGGGTCGGGCAGAAAGTGAAGGCCAACAGCGCCTTCTTGTGGTAGCCCAGCGGTTGGGTGGCGGTGAGGGTCACGACCTCCGACAGGTAGACGGTGAGGTTGTTGGCGCTGGGAGTCCCGCCCAGATTCCGCAAAGGTGGTTTGATGAAGGAGAAAGGTCTTGGTTTGATGCTGGCCCCTCCTTTGCTTGCCTATTTGCATATTAAATAGTTGTATTAATATAAATCATTCATGGTCATTGTTCATTTGCTTGGTTGTTCATTTTGTCTCTGATCTGATTCTATATCGTGGTCAGCATATGATAAGGTGAACGAGGAAAACATCAATAACAAAACAATACACAAGAAAATTAGGCCCGGCTTCAGACTTTTTTCCATTCGTTTCCAAGTTCTCTCCTTCTCTCCTCTTACCTTTGGTCTGATCACAACAGACAGCGTGAAGGAGATGGCCTCTGACTGGCCGGCGTGTCCTTTGATGTAGATGTCCCCGTTGCTAGGCCAGGCTTTCACGGTACAGTTGGCCTGAGGTGAACCGCCAGGGGAGTTGTTGCAAAGCGCTGCAGAACTGCCCTGCAAACGTATAAGCACATACCAGGTCCCCCCACAGTGAAAAGAATTCCATCTGACTTAACAAGCCAATTAACAAACAGGGGCGTAGCCACGGGGGTGGAGGGGGGGTGACGTGCCCCTATAAATGCCCGGTGCCCAAGTGCCCCCACCTGCCCCCCTAAAAATGGACGAATTGACAATGAATACGGCTAACAAACGCTTGCCCACAAAAAGACACCACTGAAAGCTGGTGCCCCCATAAGATGCTGGTGCCCCTTTCGCCCCCCCAGTAAAATCCTAGCGACGCCCACTGTTTACACAGCGTACTGAAGTGACGAAGGCAAACACAAGCTATGGGGATATTAACGTACAGCCGTCCTTTCTTGCGGGTTAAGGGTATTTTAAGTAAGTTTCTCTCACGGACTAACACACAACTAAACCATTTTGATGCAGTAGAAAAGGCATTTGTTCTCCCCGAGTGAGCTAAATCGGTGTTCTAGCAGTCGATCAGCCCAAATGAAGCACTGCTGAGCCCATTCAGGCACAGCAAGGCACGAATGTGGTCTGTCTTTTCAGCGCAGTTACTTGTAAAAGGATCTTTCCATACGCGCGTCAACATTTTGCGCCAAGCGTTGCGTATCCGTCACAATCCCTCCCGACCAGCGAACTCAACCCACACGCATTATGTTGATGGTGGCGATTTTTGTGTCCGTGAAAGTGAACGCATCGTGTACGCAACGCAGCCCAAAAATGTACATATGGAAAGGCACCTTCAGCCAACCTGCCGGGGTACCGTATAGTTTTGGAATGTGTTTGCCTTTCTGAAATACCGGAATCACTGGAGAATATTATTACCTTATTTGGGTCGTCAACTACGTAGTAATACAAAACGCCGACGGAAGGGTCCCAGTCGGGGTTGTTGTTGAGCAGAACGGTCACCTGTACCCCCATGCCTTTGTACTGCTCGCAGAGTTGACCAATGAAAGTGATGCTTGCATCCTGGGCCAGCGTTTGCACCTCTGTGGTGATGTAATTGGTTACTACGGGAACGATGATTGGTGGAGGTGGAGGGGCGCTGGAGTCGGAGACCGGAATAGCCCAGGCTAAAAGTGAACAATCATCAACAAAGATCGTTTAATAAAGTCAGTGACACTCAAGGTGTGGCATCATTGTCCCCCCCCTACTAGCACCACTGCACAGGCACCATGAACCCAACCATTCCAGCCCTCCACCTGACGCTATCATCAACCCAAATCGCCACCCCAACTACCTCAACCCGTCACCTCCAACCGTTGCAACGCGTTGGTCCCACAACAACACTTCAATCAGTGAGCCAGCACCGCGACAATCACAGGCATCCACAATCTGCCACAACCTGATTACTAACAAAACACTCTCCAGGTGGGAATGATTATCTGCAGTGTTAGGCCTACAGCATTGAGACGATGGTCAATCTTGAGACGTGAAATCAGGAAGAGAACTGGGGATGAAGTGGCGCAGGGCAGAGCAAACGCGCAGAGCAAAACTGAGAGATGAATAAATACCAAATAACACGACACATGATATCATTTTAAGCAGTCACATTCCAGCCCCAGAAATCTTGCTTGGAAGTAAGTGTCATTGAAGACATACTGTTTCAACATTCTTCAAACCGATTGTTCAAAGAGTTTTGTTTGAAATTTGCCAATCATTCAGGAAAGGGGCGGTCCATAAAGTATGTACAAAACGAAGGTGCAGGGGGTTAGTACCACTGCGTACGCCATGCCTACCGGAGGGACAGGGTCTGAAAGTCGGCATGTCATGCGTACGGACAACCGCGGACGGCCCAATAGCCGTTAGTATACACATTGACATGTGCAAGCCGTAGAGGGCGTAAATAACACTGCAACGCAGCAGGGAGGTAGGTTGACGTAATGACGCTGTACAACATTCAAGGAACGATGAAACGAGTTGTCTCTGACGCACTCATTTTGCGTATTAAATTTCTCCTTTAATGTATGAAACCGTTTGAAACTTTCTTTGGAATTAAGTAAAGTATAAACTTCTGAGACACAATTGCAGGCTGGATTGTTGTCGTATATACTAATACAACAAACTGCTAAAGGAAATAGAAAACTTCGAAAGCGAAGTATTACGCATCTAGCAATTTTGTACGCCAATTATTTCACTAAGGATCAGTTCCTCGGATTTCATCACAGTTTTGCCATGCAAATTCATATTAGCATACAAATCAAAATGACTCCAAATATAAAAAAGGAAAGTAAAATTGGAAACAAGTTTGACTGAAACAAAAAAATACAATTTCAAGGATTTTATTAGAATAAATGTAATTATATTGCATGGTCCCTTGATAGTACACCGATGCACTATCAATGAACGATTTCAACCTGATCACACGGTTTATTTAACCCCAAAAGAGCCGGGAGCGGAATCCCCGCACCTTTCGGTTGTTTTCTTTTGATCTAGTCCCAGTTTTTCAGGAGCTGAGCCTTTCAGAGTTTTAGAGTAACTCCTTGCCTGCATTTTCTCTACACCAATTTTGTTAAAAACAATAATAACACTGTACTGCGCAGCACGCATTTTCCGAGACGGGTTAGCCAAAACTGTGCACCGTACTTTTCACTGCGCAGCTCAATACACGCGGGCTGGTACCCATGTAGCCTTGAACTTCAAATGACCGTAAAGCAAAACCATAGATTTGATTTAGTTCAAACTTCACACTCATAATGATAAGGAGTGTTCTTACGCGCATGACGGTTAAAAACAAACACAAAAGTATGGCACAGCTTAGATTTAAGGCGTATTCCGCCCTACCTGGCTGTGGAATGGGCCAAAATAACCCGGCTCTTGGTGGTTAAGATTTATGTGGCGCAGTAGGCCAGCCATGGCTATATAGCTTTCCTTATCAGGCTTTAGAACTTACCGACTGAGAACAGCAGCCCAACACTCAGAAGAATCATCTTGGAGTGCTTCATGGTGGACCTCCTCGTGACTGAGACTACAATCAGACGGTTCACGGAACTTCAGTAGGAATTCATATTTGAAGCAGCAATGCAGTCTTTTTTTTTCTTTTTTTTTTCTTCTTTTCTTTCTTTTTGGTTTATTTTTTTTATTTTATTTTTTGTTTTGTTTTTGTCTTTTTTTTTACCGTGCCAGAGTCGCCTAACGTCGTGCAATCTTCCCGTGCTACTGGTTCTCTGGCATCCCCACTCACGCTTTATATAGACTACCGATGTAGTCACACATACCCCGGATTTTTAGTTTCCTTTTCCTTCCCTCTGTAGATGCAAAACGTTCAACAAAGGCAGACGGAAATAGAACTGACATCACAAGGGAACCGGTTGTTGCAGAGTCGGGCCGGGAATTTCCAGGGCACTTGGGAATTCCCACCAATTCCAGGAGTCGGGTGATGCAAGAAGACTCACCTGTGTAGGCTCCGCTTATAAGCATGTGAATCAACAAATCGGGTATACATAAAACCTCTGGAGATGATACGGAAAAACAATTAAAATGATACAGAAACCTTTTTTTATGACTTTGAACAATAAGCTTTCAAAGTACAAAGTGAACCTGTTTTAGGGGCCTTCTTGACAAGGCATGCCGGAGAGCTGCAATCTCACAAAATAGGGACAGGCCTCACACCCTTATCAGAAACAGCTAAATGAGCATGCATTTTTCAGTTGTGATTTGGCGAGTAGACGCAACGAAGAACTTACCGACAGGAACGCAGCCACTTTTGCAAACTATTTTGCTCGACAATCATCCGTAAAAGAAAAGCACGGTAAAACTCTTTCGCGAACCAACTATCTTACGTTGCCATTTATTCCACTTGCCCTTTACTATATAGGCCTACGACACATAAAAGTGTAGCACAAGAGCAATAAATTTTGTCTGTCAGAGAATCCACTGTCAGCAGTTTTAATTTACTGCAGGCTGTAAAAACCGATCTTGGGACTGACAAGGGTATTAAGTGGGGTACTTTCTGATGCAACCATTAAGCTCCAAGCCGTTCTCCACAATGGAAATGACATTTTTTTATAACTATTGTATCATAGTATTTCGAGCAATAAATTTCTTTTGAGATCATCGTCAACACGTGCACGCGTTTTATTACGCCAAAACTAACGAGCTCGAGACACCACGGTCTGCAGAGAGCAAGACTTTTTGTGCAAAATGGGTTGGATACATTTGAGAGAGTCGACACAGTGTCCACCATGGTATCATGCATACTTTTACAGCTGCAAACAGAAGACTTTAAGTGTCAGAAGGTCAGAAGCGTATTTACAACTTTGCAATGGTCAAATTACGCCCCTATCCTGTCAATATCTAGTTATGAGCGCTCTGGTGGGAACGCGGTGTTTCTACGTCAGGCAGACTCCAAGAACACCACACAGGAATACTGTATTCCAAAGGACAAACGGTGTTCCGAACAAGAACTTTCCAAGGGACCTCGAACGCCGGCTCTCGACTTTTGAGACTCTCCTTAAATAGTAATTATTTTTAAAAGACGCCCGTGTAAGATTTCGTAAAAACAAAAATCTTGTTTGACCTAGTTCAATGCCTTTCAGCAAGGCGGTGGGGTTTAGTGAACAAGTGGGACAGGTGGGACAGGGCATGTTCGTGTCTCTTCATGAAAACGCTAGCAATGCCTGTCTCAGACATCACTGATGCAATTCAGAAAAAAAATGCATTGCTTAGAGAAGCTTGACAAAATGGTTAATTACCGTATTTTAAAATAGTGAAAAAATTAAATGGTAAAATATCATGTCATTTTCACATATACCCGCCCTTTCGTGCCTAAGGTATAGGCCTAGTGATGACGACTAGTATTCTAATTCAACTGTCAAACGTTTTTTAAAGAAATGGGCGGTCAACAGCGCAGTTTGTACAGACAGATGCACTGAAAATGAAATTGTGTTTCGGTGCATTCTACTTTGAAACCATTTAACTGGACACCAGTTTTTCAAAGCTAAAATAAATAAAATGATAATATGAAAATTAAAAAAAAAAGGAATATCGCTGCCGTGCTCGGAAAACCCCAACTTCTGAATCCCACATGCTATAAGGGTGCAGTCCACTAATTCC